AACCAATTATTTCATCTTGTGAAACATTGTAAAATAAATGAGCTTGTAGACTCATTTCATCTATGCACAAAATGCAATGACGTTCCAATAGTGGCAATGAATTTAACTTTACAGCTAACACATCAAAAATTTTATCATTTATACCGGGTTTAATTTGCCACGTTTGTGTAAACTTATGTAGACTGCGTATGGCAGGTAATGCTAATTCTTTTTGAAGTTCTTTATAACATCGCGGACTTAGAAAGTATATACCTAAAGCAAATTGTTTAAATTCGGAACTATACTGTCTTCCATGTTTGCTTTTAATTTGCGCATCAATTTGGGCAGATAACAATCGTGCGAAAATCGGAGAAAAAAACTTACAACCTAATTGACGTAGAATCTCATGGTCCTTAAGCTTCTCTTTTTCTGCTTTTTTCTTCCTTACAATTAAAATCTTCACTTTCTTCTGAAGCCGTCTGTTTCTTTCGTCCAGTGTTTTTACTCTCCCTTGCAATCGTACAATGCGTTGTTGCAATTTTTTCTTCCGCGGACTTTCTTCTCTTCTTATTGTGCTGCTGGACGTGCTCCTATACATAACATATACATATATTATAGCAAAAAACAGATAGTAAACCTCTAGAAAGAAAATTGAAGTATTAATTACAATTTTAGAAATGTCAATAACAAAGAAATATAAAAATAAAATAAACCAAATATTTATTATAAACTCTTGAAAAACTTATATTTGAATATTAAAATTAAATAGATATGGTATTGATAACCTTATTTATTTAAAATTATCTTATATATGCATGTGTTTTTTATATGTATATGCAGATATGTTAAAATAAGACAAATGTTTTTATAAATACAATTACTCTCACGTAATATTATTTATGTCTTGTTATATTAAATGCAGAATGCAATTTTTAAAAGAAAAGAAACATAAAATGGACTGTAATAAGTTGTAAGTTTAAATCAAAATCTACAGACTGATTATAAAAAACTGTATAAAAGAAATAATATATTATAAAAACACATATGTATGTATATAATGTAAATACAAATACGTACGGCTTAGCAATAATATGGACATCTTTATCACATTTTGGCATCTGCTGTGTTATAGGCGGGAATGATTTCGACTGTAAGTCACTGAAACATACCATTTTAGTGTAATATTACTTTTTATTGCTAAATAAAAAATGTCTAAAACAAGTTAATTATAAGAACAAAATACTATCTATAATAGAAAGATAAATACTTTTTCAGATATTTAAGTACCTATTTGTTTCCTCTTGTTGTAAAATATAAAGATTTTCTTCTTCAGGTAGCTCTTCATCCATCTTTTCAATTGCTGATGTTGTAATACATGCATTGCTATAAATTATATGCAATATCATTAATTATAACGTGTATTATATTATCAAAAATATTGTTTGATATTTTTTAATATACAATATACTATTGAATATAAAAAACCACATTATTTAGAATAGAAAAGATTATACATTATAAGATGTGTATGGGCTTATTTTCTTTCAAAAAATATTGTTGGTACAGCATCTGGTTGAAGATGAGCTCTACTCTTACTTATCTTGTACCACTTTTCTTGAAAATGTAAGTGGCACAATCGGTAATTGCGATGGCCATATTCTGCACCCATTGCTTCCAAATCTAATCTTTCACAAGCACGTATCCATTGCAACCATCTGTAAATATTATTCAAATTTGTAAATGTAAAGAAATATTGTAATAATATATACATATGCATGCACGTAATAATATACATACGTTTAGAAATATCAAAATAGTATTTTATATGTAAATTTATACTTGTTTTAAAAAATAATAATTAATAAATGAAATAAAATCATTATATCTTTCATGTTCCTTTGGAAACCGAAAAAAATGTCGTTTTTCCACAATATTTTTGTTGCATTTCTGAACAACACACCACGCGCTTGATTGATGGGCCATTTTTTTCTTCCAGATTTTCCCTCAAGATTTCTTCACAAATACCTGCAACAAAGCTAAGACCAAAGTAATTTTCCTTTATAAGAGAATCGGGAATCTGTACAATTTTTGTACAGATTAACTATTCTCCGTAAGGAAAATAATTTGTTCTCGGTTTTCTTGCACCGTTTACTAAACACCTGTACACTATTCACTGAAGACTTATCACTTCACCACTTTATCACTTTATTATTTCAGATCACATCAGATGTCCGTTGCCGCCACTTTCTACCAAACGGCCATTTAAAGGTCCTGCCCTGCATGGAGCATCTCAACGGTGCTGACAGAGAGCAAAAATACAGAGAGAGGAAGTGAGCAGAAGTGAAACAGAATATCAGTGCTCTGATTGGTTACATACCTCGCACGCGCATGAGCAGTTCATTTTCATCCACGCTGAAATCGGGAGAGTTGCGCTACTGTATATACTGTGCTCTAAGACTAAATATAATTTTTCTTGGTTAACTGTCAATTTTAAGGTTTATTTCTTTCACTCTTTATATAATTGAACACTGAACACTGAACACTTAACACTAAACACTGAATACTCCTGCTCACTTTCTTTATCCTTCACGTCTAACTCCGATTTCTCGCACACTTCACTTCTGTAAGATGTCTGTTACCGCCAATTTTAACCGCTATATAAGTAAGAGAGAAAGCGCTATAGAGGAAATAGAGAGAAGAAATGCGACAAAAGATCAGATCTGTGATTGGTTATCTACTTAGCTCGAGCATGTGCAGTTGAATTTCGTACACGCTGAAATTGTGAGAGTTGCGCTACTGTACATACTGTGCCGTTGGTTACGGCGAGGCGCAGCAGATACCCATACAGCCCGCTGGTTACGGCGAAGCACAGCAACACAGACACAGCCCGCTGGATATGGCGAGGCATACCAGGTGGAGTCCAGCCAACCGCAGGTGACAGGCGAGGACGAGAACACACTGGGCTCTCAGGGTCAATCACAAGCGGCGGATAACTAAAGTTCCGTGCGCGAATATTTTAT